TCAAGGTGACTAGGACTATCCCTGGGACCATCATAAGGCACAGAGACAAGACTAGCCAGCAGCTCAGATCCAAAGAAAAAGAAAAACCGTAGCTCTGTGCAACAATGAGAATAAAATATTTCTGGAAGTAATTTGTCAACTTAGTCTGCCAAAAGAAAAAATCCCAAACAAATGCATTAAAAGTGTATATTAACAGAAGTTCCCAGTGGCTATCTCTGGAAGTGAGAATACAGGTAGCTTTACTTTTTAATTTTAGTTGCAGGCTCCAGAATTTCTGTCATGACTATGTATTACTTCATAGTCAGAAAAAGATATTTAAAATTTAATACAATTTTAAAACACAAAAGCATATTAGAAATGAGGCAGTGTTGGCACTGACAAAGGAGCTCTCCTTCCCACAGACTCTCAGACTAAGCATTTTCAGTGATGTTTCCTTTCTTTCTTTATGTCTTTGATTTTCTCATGAAATATCTTCCTCCTCTATTCAAAGTTTAGAGGGACTTGTAAAGGGGGAAAGGACTTATGTGTTATGATTTTTTTGTAGGCACCTCAGTGTCCTTAAATAGCAGCCAGGTTTGTTTTAATAGAGGATTAAACATGAAATATATACTTTGATGGAGAAATTCTTCATCCTACGGGACATGTCCAATTGAAATATACACATATGAACATCACATGACATGTACAAGGATGTTTATGATTTTATTCCTAATAGTCAAAACCAGAGAACAACCCAATGTAGATGAATAGAGGATGGATTTAAAAACTGTGGCATAGTCTACAATAGAATAATACACAGCAATTAAAAAGGTGAAACCGTACAGAAATCATGGTGAGTGAAAGAAGCCAGCACAATAGTATATGTGGTGTATGATTCCATTTATGTAAAGTTCAAACCCAGGTAAACCTAATCTATGGTGTTCGAATGTGGAATAGTGGTTCCCTTCTCCCCACGTGGATAATAACTAGGAGTGGCAAGAAAAAGGTCAGTAAGGTTCTATTTCTCTAGGTGGTTAGATTTATCTGGTATCGCTTCATCATACTGTACACTTCTGAAATAGGCACCTTCTGCAATAAAATTTACTGTAAGATAAAGAATTATTAAAACTTTAAACTTAGAGTCATGATTTATTCTCAGGCATGACACAGACCCTTGGCTGGGCAGAAGAACGTATGGTCAATCTGATCCAGGTCAGAACACCAATTAAAACATAGAACGAAACTGACTAGTAATCATCACCACAAGCAGGAAAGAAGCAGGCTGGTAGCATTTCGACACCATGGGCACCAAGCAGTACTGGCTCGGGTTCTTGCTCCAGCCAGTAACCTGGGACCCCATGACGTACACATTCAATTACTAAGAAGAGTTAGGAGATGCAGGTACAGGGTGAAGTTGGCGAAGACACTGTGTAGATTAAGGTGGGCAAGAGCTTTTATTCTCACAAACAGTAATTGTTAGCATAGGCTATGAAAATGCCAGATCATGCTCGAATGGTTTAGGTCAGTGATGGCGAACCTTTTGAGCTCGGCGTGTCAGCATTTTGAAAAACCCTAACTTAACTCTGGTGCCGTGTCACATATAGAAATTTTTTGATATTTGCAACCATAGTAAAACAAAGACTTATATTTTTGATATTTATTTTATATATTTAAATGCCATTTAACAAAGAAAAATCAACCAAAAAAATGAGTTCGCATGTCACTTCTGACACGCGTGTCATAGGTTAGCCATCACTGGGTTAGGTTTACAATTTCTTGCCAAAGTTATAAAAAAAAGTGACAGAAAAGATAAGTGATGAAAAGACAGTAAATGTCACATACTGAGGGCATCTGCTACAGTGTCCTGCAATGGTGGTAAATAAACTGAGAAGCAGCTTTGCAGACAGCTACTTCTTGACTGCATTACAGAAGGCCGTGAAAACCTGTCTTCCCACCACATTCGAAGCTGTAGAGGACACCCAGTCTCTCTCCGCCCTGTGTCCCACCTCACCTTTCCCTCTAGGGAAATGCCCGTTCGGTGAAGTTCAGATGGAAACGCATTGCGGGACTCTATGCACAATCCGGGCCTGGCCACCGATTCGTCCCATCCCATTAGCCACATGGCTGGTTCAGGGCTGGTTCAGGGCCCACCCCAGGCTGGCCAGTTCTTTGGGAATTCCTCTCACCAGCTAGGGAGATGTCTCAACATGCAAGCCAGGGGCTGCCTGGGCCGACTTGACGGCTGCATGGGAGATGCTTATCTAGGAGAAGACAGTTGGAGGCTGGCAAGGACAAGAAATAAGTCAGGGACAGGGACTGACCGGGAGTCTCAGCACACAGGTAGACATCTGTTCCTGCAGCTTCTCCTTCTTCTCTTTGAATCACTGTATGGGTCCTTCCCAGCCATGCCAGACAACACCCATGTTTTCTTACGCTAGTTTGAATTGGATTTCTGCCCCTTGGCAACCAAAGTCCGAACAAATACTCCAATGAACATAGGCATAGGAGTACAGTAAAGCTGGCATTCTTTTAGTTACAAGTAATCATTCAAGGGGAAGCGGAACAGCAGGACTGTGAATGCACAGCTACTAGTAACTGCCCTGTTTCTTCCTTAAACTCTTTCCAGGTTTCACTGCAGAAACACACATACCGCTGCCACCCACCTCATTACCTTTCCACTTCCCCAACCCTCAGTTCTTTGTTCCTTTCTTATTTCCAAAGACGTTAAACAGGGAATAAATTTCACTACTGGGAGCTCTGTAGGTCAGGGCCAGTGTCAGTGTTATCAACTAGAAGAGTGTCTGGCTCAGGGGTGGGCAAACTTTTTGACTCGAGGGCCACAATGGGTTCTTAAACTGGACCGGAGGGCCGGAACAAAAGCATGGATGGAGTGTTTGTGTGAACTAATATAAATTCAAAGTAAACATCATTACATAAAAGGGTACGGTCTTTTTTTTTTTTTTTAGTTTTATTCATTTCAAATGGGCCGTAGTTTGCCCACGGCTGGCTCTGGCTGGTGCTTTCCCTAAACTGCCTGCCGATATGAGGCTCCTAAAGTGTTGGCCGGTAGTTTGGACTGCAGCAGGCTGCAACTGCTGGGTGTAAACAACTATTTTTCATCACTCTTTCCTACAAGTGCTTTGATTCATCACATAGCACTGGAGAGGAAGATGCACATCCCTTTATTACAGCATTTGCTGCCTGGTGTCATTGTGGTTTTATGTGTCTGTCACCACCAGACCATACATATGTCTGAGTAGAGAGACCCCATCTTACTGAATTGGCACGCTCAGCATTAGCAGGGTTCCCCACACGTACAGGTGTCTGATGACTCCCCATCAGGTACAAGCGATTCTTAAAACTCCATAGAACCTTGCTCTCCAAGTGAGGTCCATGGACCAGCATCATTATGATCACTGGAAGAGAGGGTTGCAAACGCAGAATCTGGGCCCTACCCCCAAACTACTGATTTGTAGTTGAGAACTGGCATGCAGGGAGAGGAGACCTGAAGAGATCTTGCAGAGGCTAGAGTTGATTGATGGGTGAGGAGAAGGGAGAAGGGGATGTTAAGGCAGATGAGCCTGCAAGGCTGGGGTAAGAAATGACAGTGAGCACCAGGGAGAGGCAGGGCGGCCAGAGGAAAACAGGAGGAGTTCTGGGGTCCTGTGTCCTGCAGGCCATCTCCACTGTACAGGAGCCCTTCAGTGAGTGTGAAGAAAGGTAGTTGGAAAAACCTTCGCTGCTGACAGGGGAAGACCAGAACATCATGCCTTTTCCTTCTCCCATCTTTAAACTGGGAACTCGTCTTTAAATTCAAGATCTATTAGGTGCCTGGTTTTTTGTACCCAGAGGAGAAATAGGCTCATAAGAGCAGCCCACTATCGGGTTCTTAATTTTAGAACCTATTGATGTGTTAAAATGGAAAAATAAATTAACACTGTTACTCCAGTGCCGAAATGAATTGGTTTGGGGCCAGCATCTGCAGGAAGCTTCTGCAGGAACTCAGTAAATGATTTCCACCCGAAAACACAGCTCAAGGAGCACTTAATAAGTGCAATTTGATACTAATGATGAGTTCCATGGCCGCACCCTATATCCAGTTTGGCCAGTGTTCCGGGGAACAGTAATTAATGAACCAGGTCCAGGACACACTTATGAAGGAGACCCCTTTGGAATGGGGATGCAATGTGGTCGAGGGCAATTCTAGAATAGGCGACCGTGCATTTTGCTGCTTTAAGCTCTGCCCTCCTCTCCTGGGCACCCCAAACGCTGCTGTGAAACCTGAGTACCACCCTAAGCAATTCTTTTGACCAGGAATGTAGGTAGCAGTTTAGGGAAAGGCGGGGAGAAGTGGCCTCTGGAGACCGGGACTCTCCAGGGAGACCTCAGGAATGAAATAGGTCACGCGGCTCCCAGGCTGCGCTCCCTCGCCCCCGCCCGCCCGGTGCGTGCAAGCCTGGGACGCCAGCGGGAGTGGGATGCGGGGGGCGGGCAGGGAGGATGAGG